GTAACTAGTTACATTACTTAGTTACCGCCCCAAGAAAGTAACTAAGTTAAATTACTTTTGGATTACTTCGGGTCACAAAAAAGAGAACAGAATCAAGTTTGTATGTTTTATTAAAGCCATTTAAATTAAGGTCAACTAATTGAACAGTTGTTCAAAACTGTCTCAAATGGCAAAACATGAACATGAAAGTAAATCACTACAGCAGCCAGGACAATTCAATTGTAGGCAGTTTAGTCATCAAGACTACTGGCTGGTAGTGCAAAAAAACATTTTTAAATAATACATTAAAACTCTAGGTAAACAACAACAACATGAGTTTAATGTTAACATCAAAAGTGCAAAAAGTAACAGTTTAACTGTTGTAACAACTAACTCCTCCTTTAACGTTTTTGTTTTTCAAAGTAATGATTGTACCTGAGTAGCAATAGTTTTTCAAATCGTTTGGCTGACAACCTATTCCTTCTTGGAGTAAGCACCAGGCTGCCCAGGCTGAACAGCCTCTCTACTGGGGCGCTTGAAGGTGTTGCTGTGTTCAGTTTTAGAAATAAGGCCTTCATGTTTGGAAACTGGTGGAGAATGTCTATTTTGCAACCTGACTGGAGATAACTAAAGACTTCACTTTCACAGTTACGAGAAGCTGAAAGGTCATCTTCAAAAGCAAAAAAGTCAATTTCACCCTTTGTTGGAAAAATATGCTTGTGGTTCAGAATCAAATGGGTTAACCTCTTGTGTGTCCATTGAGGATCGGCATTCTGTGATCAGCAGTGTCTTTAAAGAGTTCTTCCTCTGCTCTTCTTTCAGCCACCTCAGTTTGAACTTTGGCAGTGTTACAGCAGCAAGTTGAGCATCCTTGTTCTCCAGCACAGACCCAAATCTGGTCTTGATGGCCTGCATGTAAAAAGAGCACAACAGCATAAAAAATAGTGCATTCTTTATTTTATGCTTTTAAACTAAGGTAAAGTATACAAACCTGCACAATGACATCTGGCAGACCAGCAGTCATTCTTCAGAGCCCAGGTTACAAAGCCAACATCTTTGACATTAAAACTTCTAGTGTTGGCAGAAGGCATCCATAGTAGCAGTTATCTTCCATCCATCCATCTTCTTCCCCTTAATCCATTTCTGGGTCGGGGGGGTGGCAGTCAGAGCTGCACCCAATTCACTTAGCACCAGCCCCTCACTGATCCTCTGCAGGTGGTGAGTCCACAGGAGGACAGCTGCTCTGTCAGTGACAATACGGCCTTGATTTTTAAGCGGGGGCTTCAGGCAATGCAGGGTTAAGTGTCTTGCCCAAGGACACAACGACAGCAGTCATCAGTGGGAGTCGGTGGAGAAGGTCCCGTGGTGAGCTTGAACCCACAACCTTCAGGCTCAAAGGCCAGTGCTCTACCAACTGAGCTACTGTCGCCCCGCAGTTATCTTCACCTTGCAAAATATCCAAGGCGACGGTGAGGGGTTTCATTACTAAACAGTATTCGGTAAGAAATTTATGTTCACGTTCAGAGAGGACTCTTATGTCTAACTGAGTACACAAGTGGTTTAACTGTGGGACTGGAATAGTGAGGATGCATGTCAAAGCATCATGGAATTAGTTCCATCTTGTTGTTACAGGGACAATTAGCTTTTTTTTGCATATATCCTCAACAAGCTCTGAGGCTACAGTTGAACGGCTACACTTGGTCCAGAGGGCAGAGCACTTAGCTGTAGCACTTCTGTACACAGATTTGGACTCAGTATTTGCATACAGCCATTTGTTCACATCAGAATTAGAAATCAAGTTCAGCGTGTGGGAAGCACACCGTAAGTGAGGGGGAAAAATATAATGTCCTTCTGCGGTGCCATTAGATAGGATTTCATTGAGATCAGCAAAAACAAAATTGTCTTCCTCCTCTTCACCCCCGTCCTCCTCTGACCCAGAAGATGCTGCTGCTGCTGCCTCGTAGATCCGAAAGGCTTTTACAAAGTTTGACCCATTGTCTGTTACAGTAGCAAATACCTTGTGAGTGAGTCCAAACACTGAATGTATACCTTCTATTTCACTTGCCACGACGTCGTATGTATGGCGTCCTTTTATTCTTCGGCAGGCAATAGCTGCTTTTTGAGGTTTTGAGGTTTGAGGTTGTTTGGGTTAATCCAATGTGCCGTCATGCCCATGAAACTTTTATTGTGACAGGTCCAAATATCAGCAGTGGTGGAAACGTACTCCAGGCTCTCAAAGGTTGACTCACTTTCCATGTTGCTGTAGCACTTCTCCAGATAGTTTACAAAAGTTTTTCTGTCGCTTGTACTGTCCACTGTTTTATTTTACGTATAATGTTTCTGAAAGACGGCAACTCTACAGTAGAAATGGGTAGCATCTCTTCTACAACGTATGCCGCTACTAGTCTATTTATTTCAGTCTTTGAGGTTACCTGACAGCGTAACCCAAGTCGAGGTTGTTTACATCGTGTTGGTACTGTGCTGTAGGAGGCGGCGGCTTCACTGACATGCTCTTTAGCGACTAGCTTAATAGCTGAGTGTTGACGCTGCAAGTGTTTCAACAGGTTCGAGGTGTAGTTGGCTGCGGTGGACAATCGCTTGTTGCCCATGTGTAACCGAGGGAGAGCCTAATTGAGCAGTGAGTTATTGTACACAGGTAAGGGTGCAGTGAATAGTTAAACAGAGACACATACCATAACCGTTGTGAAAGATTTATTTTTCATTTACTAAAAGGGAAAAAAACACGTTAATAGAAATGTATGAAAAGGTTATGTTTATTGGGGGCTATGTTAAAATGCTAGTTCTAATAAATATTTTCAGCTTAAACGTTTGTATTCATATATATATTCATAACATGTCTTTGTTGTGTTTGTGGCAGATCTACAAAGTCCATCTACAGAATGAGGTTCACCTGTGATCAGTGTGGAAAGACCTGCGTCTCTGCTTCTGAGCTAAAGATCCACTACAGAACTCACACTGGAGAAAAACCATACGAGTGTGATCAGTGTGGAACAGGTTTTACTACAAAAGGACATCTCAAGAGCCACAGCAGAATCCACACTGGAGAAAAACCCTTCAGCTGTGACGTTTGTGATAAGAGTTTTTCTCACAGTGGTTCTCTCAAAGATCATCAGAGGATCCACACTGGAGAGAAACCATTTGTCTGTGAAAAGTGTGGAAAGTCTTTTACTCAAAGCTCGTCTCTTCATAGACACAATAAAACCTGTGAGAAGCAGGTGTGAAGACGCAGCATCTGGAACAAAGTGAAGGAGACAGAGCTGAGGCTGCATCATGTGAACCCAGAGTCAGACTCTACAGGATCACACTTCAGTCTTAACCCTGTGCTGCAGCTGCTGAGCTTTACAGACCAAACACTTATTGTGGATTTGAACATCTTTACTTTGAGCCTGGAGACTCGGATACATCATGTTTTTGTCTGAAAGGAAAATCTTATGGTTCCTTTAAAGTTGCATTGAGTCTAACTGTTAATTTACACAGGAGGCGTTAAAGTACGAACGCGTTATACGCGCGTAACATTTTTCCATGTTAACCAATGGTGACACTACTATTTACACTACTAGTGTTATATGTGCATATGACGCGAGGCTGCGCCTAATTTAGGATGGATTTCTAATTTTGTGCACGCTGCAACGCGTCTCCAAGTCAAAACACATAGGAAATGCACACACGGAGGAGCAGCAGGTTTTACAGTGTTCTGGACATTGTTTTTTTTTCATTCATAAAGTCCCGTGTCTGGTCAGACCAGCGCACAGAGACCATGAAGACAAACACATGCATGTGATTTGTGTTGCTCTACATCAGTCCTCTGTACTGTCCTCTACACTGCTCCATAGACTACACAGGGACAGCTTCAAAAGCCGCGGACCTGCGCACGGCCAGTGTAGATACAGCCGAGTGTGCGCATAAGGCAAGGCAAGTTTATTTATATAGCACAATTCATTCACAAGGCAATTCAAAGTGCTGAACAAAATAAGAAAGCATTAAAATCATAAATAATCACAGAACATAAAAAGAAAGAAAAATATAAAATCCCTCAGTTGTATGCACAGCTAAACAGAACTGTCTTTAACCTGGTTTTAAACATTGTCATTGAGGAGGCCTGTCTCACACTTTCAGGAGGATTGTTCCAGATTTTAGCAGCATGAATCTGAAAAGCAGCCTCCCCATGTCTAGTTCTGACTCTGGGCACTAACAGGAGTCCAGTCCCTGTGCTCCTCAGAGACCGGGCTGGTTCATATATGGGACTAACATGTCACTAATATTGTAACGGTTTGTAGGTTGGGGGATTGTGGTGGTACTAGAGTTATTATTTGGGGTTGTGGTTTTATAGGGGTGCCAGCCAGGTATCCCTCCTGACAAGTGGGATATTGAAGGTTTAGTTTGAACTATTGTCTCCGTCACACAAGGACTTATAATATAGATGTATAAATATAAACCCTTAGTCTTAAAATGTGAATGACAAAAAACCAGAGGAAACACACAGAAAATTAAATAAAGAGTCCCAAGTGTATTTGTACAGTCCAAAAAAACAGTACTACTGTGCAACAAAGTATTTCCCCTCCCAAAGTTCACAAGCTTAGGCAGCTCCCCACATAAGCTGCTCCACAGCACAAGCTGAAGATAAAACACACACACAGAAAAATATCATCAAACACTATTCACTATACATTTTACAATAAGAAGACAGTAAAAAAAAAGTACACTCACATGTCACGTGTATGATTGAGGCACCTATGTTGATGGAGCAGGGGGTACAGTCTTTTTATATTCACTGTCATAAAACAGAATAATATTTACGGGAGCGCTTTTCTGAGTGTCTATTAGAGAGTTTATTTAATATTTTTCACTCACATTACGATGACGCGGGAGGTGCGCTGACGTACCCAGCCGGCACAGGCTTCAGTGTTGGAGCAGGCGGAAGAGCAAAAGGAGCGAGCGTTTTTACGCGTCTCCGGGAATGACATGCGGAGCTTTCCAGCGTTTTAGTAGCGCACAGAACCTTAGAACACGGAGGGATTGTACGACCTCCAGAATTCTGCTTCTATCGAGCACATGCGATCAGTCTCTCCTGCCTCCTTCTCAGTCAGAGCGCGACTGTCATTTTCAAAATGCGGAAGAGGGCCGCTCCACCCGCAGCGCGAGCACTGGGCCAATGAGGTGAGGCTATGACGGGACAGGGCGTATATACATGGCTGGAGCGCACAGTGTACATAAAAGGGGCAGAAACAAAACTTCATAGGGGCAACCCTGGGGTTGTCACACTCCCCCCCCCCTTCAGAAGTCCTGAACTAGTGAGGGGTTCAGGTTCTTTCCTAGAACCCATTGGACAAGAACATCCATCCTATTTCGTTACAACTTTGCTTGGGCCTGGTTTCTCAATTTCTGAATTGTCGAAACCCAAGAAAGATTCCTCCTCACTCTCCTCCATAAAAATTTCAAGGACCTTGCGTCGCTGCTCTCTTTCCCACTCCTCTGCTGTGGGATAGCAGGGCTTCATTTGGGCCAGGTGAATTACCCGGAGATCCTCACCAGTGTCTTCACGAACAACCTCAAAATTTACAGGGCCAACTCTTCTGACAACGCGGTAAGGACCCTTCCACCTCGGGGCAAGTTTCGCTGAAAATGATTGGTCAGCCTTTGATAAAGGATGAGTTCGGATCCAGACACGATCTTTCTCGGAAAAATTTCCTTCCCGTCTTCCTCTGTCATAATATTGTTTCTGTTTCCGTTTGGCATTTTGCAGGTTTCCATAGCACACTTTTACATGAATGACATAATCCAAGGTCAGCCACAGAGATGAAGCAATAGTGTGACCCAGAAAGCAAGTGGTTTCTGGGCTCAGTTATGACGGCAGTAATTGGCCAGTGCAACAGAGAGACCACATACAGCTGCTGCCTTGATTAAAATGTATTCAAATGTGTACACATATATTGAGATTTAAAGAAATGATAAAGTATCACTTTGCATTTATAGAAATATGTAATGTAGATAACCTAATGAAACATTTGTTTGAAGACCCCATTGCAGTTTTGGTGCAGTAGAGCATGCACAGTTTCTCTGTACCCTCTTTACTGTGCTGCATTATACATAATCTAACATAACAGCCTACACTCATGCATTGTATTTAAGACTTGAAATAGAAAATCAAATAATAAATCAAATACCATGTGAACTTGAGAGTTTCCACATCATCTAAGCCTGCCTTCCCTTAGTTTGAAACAGATCGTATCATACAATATATTATAAAATAATATCTGTTCAACAAATATTGTTGCGGATGGATAAAAGTAATTGTAATTCAATTGTCAATGGTGACTTCCCTCCTTCCCCCCTGATGTACATGCAATTGCTTGTGAGGAATTGCATGTACATCGCGGCACGCACTTTTGTCTCGTGCGGCAGACGCCTTGTTGCGGCGCAGCAGAGGTGGTGGTATAGCGGCTACATGCATGCAGCGAAAGCAGGAGATGAGTGTCTATGCACTGTTCAAACAGGACGATGAAGACAATCAAAAACAACCAAACCAGGATTAAACCACGGCTGACGAGGGCGGACACAGTGCTTGTGAACATATGTCTTCACAGTTGACATTTTACTGTGACTGTAAACAATATTTCGCCATGCGTTTTTCCCCAACGCAGGGCTGTATGACAGATTGACTAAACTCATGCAGCTGATATTTAGTGAACATGCGTCCATGCTTCAATCAATGCACGTTCATGCATTGGCGGTGGGAACACAGCTTGATGGAAGCACAACCAGGTACAGTAGAGCCGAGTGGAGCTGAGTGGAGTTGAGTCGAGTGAAGCCAAGTGGGGCTGGTGGAAACGGAGCTAATTGCCCTGCACTGGTCTGTTTCCCTGCCCCAGTCACTTCTATGTGACACATCCATCCATATTAACCAACACCAACAATAGTGATTAAGTAATACAGTGCACACATTTAAACAACTATGGAGTGCACTGGTCCTAGGGACATTGTCGTCCCTAGGACCAGGCTGAAGACCAGAGGAGACAGAACTTTCTCTGTTATAGGGCCAAAGTTGTGGAACTTTTTACCTTTGCACATCAGAACTGCACAATCACTCGAGCACTTTAAATCCCTGCTTAAAACGCATCTTTTTTCTTTGGCTTTTACTACCAAGTAGACAGAGACAAATTTTTCGATTTCTTTTTGTATATACATTTCTGTATTTTATGTGTTTTTATTTTATAATTTTTCCTCGCTGTCTGTTCAGCACTTTGGTAAGCCTAGGTTGTTTTAAATGTGCTCTACAAATAAAGATTTGATTGATTGATTGATTGAGGCGGGTACACTAACTAGCTATGTGTGCGTCGAGCTCTACACGGTAGGGATGTACCGATCCGATATTCAGTATCGGTATCGGGGGCCGATATGGGTATTTTGTAAGGATCGGATAATATCGGATTTGGTAAATATGAAGCAGATTTACGTCACTTTTCAGCAAGCTCACGCTTTACGGCTGCCGTAAACTAAATACAATGTAAAACTAGGGCTGGGCGATAAAACGACAACAAGATATATTGCAATAGACACGTGTTCGATATAAATAGAAAACGGGGTCGATAGAATGTTAGTTTAACGTCACTCCGTTAGAAAAAACAGGACAAAAACACAGGAAGTAAAGCCGAGTCAGAGGCGCACGGCATTCTGGGGGATGTAGGCATAGGCTTCTCGACCTATCACAGCCAAGCGTCAACCGCAAAACGTTCTGGGAAATGCATTAACAACAACCGCACAATGCATAGCGTCCATGGATCTAAAGATTGTTTTTCAATGCCGTGTCAATGGTTATGCACGTCCGTGCATGTTTTAGCATGTGCGGCAGGAGAGGCAGTGGACACAGAGACCTGGTGCATGCGGCGAAAGCAAGTGATGAACTTTTTCCTCCGTGCGGCTATCAGAGAGCGGTCGCACAGAGCGACAAGGAGACACAAAACAGGAGATAAACCAGGACTAAACCAGGATTTCACCAGGACTAACTATGGGGGAGACTGCTTGTGAACATATTCCTTGAGCCTCATTCCCTGTGACTGTAAACAGGGCTGCTAACGTGTGTTCGCTGACACGACAAACGTATTTATTCAGGTAAAATTGCAAATTCTTTAATGCTTTGAAAATATTAGAAAAAATGGTATCGGATCGGTATCGGCAAAACAATATTTAAGAATATCGGAATCGGATCGGATTACAAAAATTCTGGATCGGTACATCCCTACTACACGGAGGATAATTCTACTCCTTTGTTCGTCCAAACAAAATCACGCAAAGCTGTAGTTTCAGTTTCCATTTTCGCAGCTGCTGTTAAAATGCAGAATGATGTTGGTGCATTCTTTCACATCTATGGAGGACCGGCCACATCTACTGGCCGGGCGCTAGAACTACATTGTTTTTCATCCTTGTATGAACACTGTAATTTGCATAAGGAGCCTGGTCGTTTCTGTTAATTGCTTTGCAACGTCTGCGCAGCGTCTCCGTCTAAAAGGGGCCATAGCGTCATGTTGCGGTTGTCTTGGACATGCTGGTGGTGTGAATTACTCAAGATGCCCTGCAGGAGAGCCCCCATCCTAATCCAAAAACTCTAAGGTGTTTAGCAGTGTGGTTGTGTGAGGAGGACACTGCAGAAGTCAATAAACACTTTGTGAGTTTACTGGGTGAGCACCTCTAAGGGAGTTACACGCTTTACAGTATCAGGTGGTGGTGAATTTGCTGTGCTGTATTTTATTATTTAAGAAATAATGAAACCATTCAGAATTCCAACATTTGAAGGTGAAGAAAATTGAAGGTCTTTTTGCAGCTTTTCACAGAAAAGATAGGAGACAGTGATAAAAACTGGTTTCAGCTTCCTGTTTCCACATTATGAAGATGTTTCTCCCCCTCCAAAGTTATTGTATTTAGTTTTGAATTGGTAACTATGCTTTACCTCCTCCACTGTCCTTCTCCTCCTCCTCGATGCTGTTCTTGATGCTGTCGTATTCCTCGTCAATGTTCTGGTTCCCTCGGATCTGACTGAGCACTCGTCTAGCCTTTTGCGTAAGGCCACGTTGGATGAGCCAGCGAGGACTCTCCGGTAAAAACAGAAAGCCCGTGAACTGGATCATGGCTGGGATGACAGAGAGGCCCAGCATGTACCTGCAAGCAAACGTATGAAGAGCTTTGGCAAAAATGACCTCAGAAAGACAGTTATTGTAAAAATAAATAAAAGCATTAAGAATTTATAGTAATGAGATAAAAGTATGAATATAAATGATGATAATGATATCCTGTGTATCCTGTGACTTGACCTGAAAATCTGGATATTTTTTTTGTGTATGGAAAATGATCATGAATTGATTATCCATGTGGATAGTGAAACTTGATCAGGGCTTTGACTTTTGCAGAAAAATCATATTCGAAGTTTGTGCGTTTATTCATTTGAATAATCAAATATATTTGAATATTTAATTATAATTTATTATACACCTCCTCACAGCAGCAGTAGAACGCTCCATTGATTTGAATGTAATTTAAAAACGTTCTACAAATATTTCAAACCAATAATGGCCGCTGCCCTTTGGCAACGCAATCTGTGCCCTAAATGAAGCCTGAGAATACCCATGCTGTATTTGCTTGAATTATTACAACCTAGAAATTCTTAACTCTGAATTTTTCCATGATCTTGGGGACCAATCACAGAACGGGGAGGAATGGCAAGACTACACAAACAACACACTATTGAACGGTGTATAGTTTGAAGGAGACGCAAAGCTTTCTTTGTTTGGCACCTTTGTGTAAACATCATCTGCCTTTATCGCTTCTTCCCATCTGGTCATATATGTCACTCGTATGTTGGCCGAATGGTTAACATTGAAGGCTGGGACCTGGAGAACCCAGGTTCGATTCTTGTCTGAGGCAATTTTGGTTGCACATCTTTTGGTTGCTTGTGTGCAATTACGTAACTTTATCAGATTGTTATCTTCTTTCCTTGTCAAAAGGAAATGTGTAAAATTGGCTGTGTGTTCAAGCCGTGCATGTGAATGTATATGTGTTGCTATTGAATGCTTTTTCAAAGTAAGAGCATAACAGACAACATATACATATTTTGTACTAATGTTAATCTTTATAATTAAATTGCATTAACGTATATATGTGATGGGATCTGGGAAAACCCGTCGGATGTCACGCTGGCACGTTCCAAGTAAACAGTAAAAATAGGTCGATTGTCATTTTTTTGGCAAAATTGTTTTTTCATTAAACAATTATTATATAACATCTTGTCTTTAATGTCTGAAAAAATCTAGGTGAAATTCACTAGTGTTATACGTTAAATATTGTGATATGTTTTGATAAACCGAACGTTACGTTACATCCTCCGCTCTGGCCCCGGGAGCAGCTGCTGTGACCCCCGCTCTGACAGCTCAGTGAACGCACTGCCGTCTGGGCTCCGAGCGCGGACCATAGACACGCGAACAGAACCACAGACAGGACCATAGACACCCGAACAGAACCACAGACAGACATTTACATTTACATTTACATATACGCAGACAGAACCCAGACAGGCGGAGACACCCGAACAGAACCACAGACAGACATTTACATTTACATTTACATATACGCAGACAGAACCCAGACAGGCGGAGACACGCGAGACACGCGGATCATAGACACTTGGACAGAACCAGAGACACACGAAGCATAGACACTCGAGTCGGACAGGTCCATTTGTTTTATTTGTGTTTAAAGTTACCTAAGTTTCTCCTTGCATTAAAAATGCTTGGTGGTTGTGGATATTTAGACTGCGTGATTTGATAGAATAATACTGGCAATGTCTAATACATATCTAATTTTCAGTAAATTATAAATAGAAAGAAAAAGAAGAGGAGGTCAAAATTCAATCCATTGAATATTGAAAGAATCAATACATTCTTGATTTTCGACTAATTCATGAGTGTTGTGTGTTTAATTGGTGCCAAAGTAACATCTTTTTAATCTTCTACAACATAGTGAATAAAACAAGTGTGCCATAACAGAGTAATTCAAAATTTACATGTTATATGACTGTGATGATTATGTTTGGAATGTCGATCTTTAAACCTGTTTTTCTCAGAATTCTGTTTCATAAAACCATGTATAATGTATAATACATCACAACTGTTGGTGCATTTTTCAGAACAATTAGTTCAAACTGCAAAACCTGGTGGATAACTTGCAAAAGTGCATCACCTTCTCAAAATGAAAAGTTTATTCCTCAAAAGCAAGTCTTCATGTCAATGAAATTGTCTGTGTCGTCAAAATTATAAGTCCTGACAACATTGAGTATGAACAACAGTCAAATGACTTAGTCATGTTTTCATTGTGACACTTTACTCTCTCTGCTTTTTTCAAAGCAAAAAATCAGATCTTGGTGAGCACTAAACACTGTACAGCTGAATACTACAGTAAAGTTACACACGACTGTATTTAGTGAGAGTAAAATACACATTTATATGTACTGTGTGTGTGTGTATATATGCATGTATGTATCGATGTATGTCTTTCACATATTTACTGCATTTGCTCTGAAGAAGATGACAAAGTCTGGGATCGCGTCTTAAATTCAGACAGAAGACATGTTTTATTGTCGATGGTAGAGACAGCACGAACAAAGCACACGATCACAGAAACAATAGAATGCAAGTGTATTATACAGAGCGGAGGCATGGAGACCTCCAATCAGCAGCTGCCACGGTGTGCTTGTAGCTTGGCCTTCAGATAGACAAAACAAGGGAAAAGTACTGGCTTCTGCACATTGATAGAATGATGAGTTTAACTTTAACAAAAGTTGCTTAAAAGTGTTATGAAATCTCACATTCCCCCCTCTGGTCACACATTCACGTGTGACCATCAGGATCGATAAACAGCAACATAACATCATAACTCAATACTTCAAAAACTCAAACTCAGTACTTCAAAAACTCAGAAAACTCATAAAACATGTTCAGATCTTTCATAAAACTTGTCAACAATCTTCAGTAAAATACCAAACTTCATCAGTCGATGGTTCCAAATATTGCTTTGAAAACAGTCTCTCCCACTTCTCCGTGTTGATTTCTTCAGGCTGCATTTGTGTCGAGCCATGAATTCTTCTGTGACGTGTCTTTCAATCACACGTTTCAGCTTCAGTGTCCAGATTCAGAAATCCAATTCAGTCCAAATTATGTGTTTGGTTCTTTGGGCATAGTCACGGATATGGGAAAAGTAGTATTTATTTTTCATGGATTACTTCACACTCCTGTGGGCCCACCACCTGCAGAGGGGTCCGTGGTGGCATGGTGCAGAGAGGACTGGGCAGCAGTCGAAGGCGGAGACCTCGACGACCCAGTCCGCACACACAACAGCTGGCTCTTGGGACGTGGAACGTCACCTCACTGGGGGGGAAGGAGCCCGAGCTTGTGGGGGAGGTTGAGCGATACCGACTAGAGATAGTCGGCCTCACCTCCACACACAGCTTGGGCTCTGGAACCCAACTCCTTGAGAGGGGTTGGACGCTCCACTTTTCTGGTGTTTCCCGCGGGGAGAGGCGGCGAGCTGGGGTGGCCATTCTTATTGCCCCCCATCTCAGCCGCCACGTGTTGGAGTTCTCCCCGGTGAATGAGAGGGTCGCGTCCCTCCGCCTCCGGGTGGGGGACAAGTCTCTCACTGTTGTGACGGCCTACGGGCCTAACGGCAGTGCAGAGTACCCGGCCTTCTTGGAGTCCTTGGGAGGGGTACTGGACGGTGCACCGCCCGGGGACTCCGTTATTCTCCTGGGGGACTTCAACGCCCATGTGGGAAACGCCAGTGACACTTGGAGAGGGGTGATCGGGAATAACGGCCCCCCTGATCTGAACCCGAGCGGTGCTCAGTTGTTGGACTTCTGTGCCAGTCACGGTTTGTCCATCACGAACACCATGTTCGAGCACAAGGGTGTCCACCAGTGCACGTGGCACCAGGACACCCTAGGCCGGAGGTCGATGATCGACTTTGTTGTCGTATCATCTGACCTTCGACCGCGTGTCTCGGACACTCGGGTAAAGAGAGGGGCGGAGCTGTCAACCGATCATCACCTGGTCGTGAGTTGGATCCGCTGGCAGGGGAAGAAGCCGGTCAGACCTGGCAGACCCAAGCGTATAGTGAGGGTCAGCTGGGAACGTCTCGCTGAGCCCCCTGTCAGACGGACTTTCAACTCACACCTCCGGGAGAGTTTCTCCCAGGTCCCGGTGGAGGAGGGGGACATGGAGTCCGAGTGGACCATGTTCTCTGCCTCAATCGCCGATGCGGCGGCTCGTAGCTGTGGTCGCAAGGTCTCTGGTGCTGGTCCCGGCGGCAACCCCCGAACCCGGTGGTGGACACCGGCAGTAAGGGATGCTGTCAGGCTGAAGAAGGAGTCCTATCGAGCCATGATGGTTCGGGGGACTCCTGAGGCAGCTGTCCAGTACCGGCAGGCCAAGCGTGCCGCGGCCCGGGCTGTTGCAGAGGCAAAAACCCGGGACTGGGAGGAGTTCGGAGAGTCCATGGAGCATGACTATCGGTCGGCCTCAAAGAAATTCTGGCAAACCGTCCGGCGCCTCAGGAGGGGGAAGCAGTTCTTTGCCAACACCATGTACGGTGCGGGTGGAGAGCTGCTGACCTCGACGGGGGATATTGTCGGACGGTGGAAGGAATACTTTGAGGTTCTCCTCAATCCCCCCGTCACGTCCTCTGTTACAGAGGCAGAGGCTGAGGATGTTGGGGCGGATACATCCATCTCCCTGGCTGAGGTCACCAAGGTGGTTGGTAGCCTCCATGGTGACAAGGCTCCGGGTGTGGATGAGATCCGCCCTGATTATCTAAAGTCTCTGGATGTTGTAGGACTGTCTTGGTTGACACGTCTCTGCAACATCGCGTGGCGATCGGGGGCGGTGCCAATGGAGTGGCAGACCGGGGTGGTGGTCCCTCTCTACAAGAAGGGGGACCGGAGGGTGTGTTCCAATTATCGTGGGATCACACTCCTCAGCCTCCCCGGTAAGGTCTACTCCAAGGTACTGGAGAGGAGGCTACGGCCGATGGTCGAATCTCGGATCCAGGAGGAGCAGTGTGGTTTTCGTCCCGGTCGCGGAACACTGGACCAGCTCTATACTCTCCATCGGATACTCGAGGGTTCATGGGAGTTCGCCCAACCTGTCCACATGTGCTTTGTGGATTTGGAGAAGGCGTTCGACTGTGTTCCCCGGGATGTCCTTTGGGGGGTTCTCCGGGAGTACGGGGTCGGGGGTCCTCTGCTGAGGGCCATCCGGTCCCTGTATGACCAGAGCCAGAGCTGTGTTCGCATTGCCGGCAGTAAGTCAGACCTGTTCCCGGTAAATGTTGGCCTCCGACAGGGCTGCCCTTTGTCACCGGTTCTGTTCACTGTATTTATGGACAGAATATCTAGGCGCAGCCAGGGGTCGGAGGGGGTCCGGTTCGGGGACCACAGGATCTCATCTCTGCTGTTTGCGGACGATGTTGTCCTGTTGGCTCCAACGAACCAGGACCTGCAGCATGCACTGGGACGGTTTGCAGCCGAGTGTGAAGCGGCTGGGATGAGAATCAGCACCTCCAAATCTGAGGCCATGGTGCTCGACCGGAAAAAGGTGCCCTGCCCTCTTCAGGTGGGTGGAGAGGTCCTTCCTCAAGTGGAGGAGTTCAAGTATCTCGGGGTCTTGTTCACGAGTGAGGGAAGAATGGAGCGTGAGATTGACAGGCGGATCGGCGCAGCGTGCGCAGTGATGCGGTCGCTGTATCGGACCGTTGTGGTAAAGAGGGAGCTGAGCCGAAAGGCAAAGCTCTCGATTTACCGGTCAATCTTCGTTCCCTCCCTCACCTATGGTCATGAGCTTTGGGTAATGACCGAAAGAACGAGATCGCGGATACAAGCGGTCGAAATGAGCTTCCTCCGCAGAGTGGCTGGGCGCTCCCTTAGAGATAGGGTGAGGAGCTCAGTCACACGGGAGGAGCTCGGAGTAGAGCCGCTGCTTCTCCACGTCGAGAGGAACCAGTTGAGGTGGCTCGGGCATCTGTTCCGGATGCCTCCTGGACGCCTCCCTGGGGAGGTGTTCCGGGCACGTCCCACCGGGAGGAGGCCCCGCGGAAGACCTAGGACACGCTGGAGGGACTATGTCTCGCAGCTGGCCTGGGAACGCCTTGGGGTCCCCCCGGACGAGCTGGAGGAAGTGTGTGTGGATAGGGAAGTCTGGGCGTCTCTGCTTAGACTGCTGCCCCCGCGACCCGGCAACGGATAAAGCGGAAGAAAATGGAATGGATGGATGGATGGATGGATGGATGGATTACTTCACATTTATGGGGGGGGTTTGTTGGGTTGGGGGGGGTGTGGGGGGGTTGGGGGGTGGGGGGTTGTTTGGTGTGTGTGGTGGTGTGTGGGGGGGGGGGGTGTGGGGGTTGGGTGGGTGTGGGTGTGTTGTTGGTTTGGTGGGGGTTGGGGGTGGGGGGGTTTGTGTTGGTGGGGTGGGTGTGTGGGTGGTGGTTGTGGGGGGTGGTGGTTGGTTGTGTGGGTGGGGTTTGTGGTGTTGGTGGTGTGGGGGTGGGGGTTGTGGTGTGTATGGGTTATGTTTTGTGGTGGGAGTTGTTGTGGGTATTGGGGGTGTTGAGTGTGTTTTGGGGGTGTGTTGTGGTTTGGTGATGGGGGGTTGTGGGGGGGTGGGGGGTGGTGGTGGGGTGTGGGTGTGGTTTGGTTTGGTTGGGGGGGGTTGGGGGTTGGTGTGGGTTGGGGGGTGGGGTGGGGTTGGGGGGGTGTTGGTTGGGTGTGGGTTGGTGTGGTTGTGGGGGTGGGGTGTGGTGTGGGGGGTGGTGTGGGGGGTGTGGGGTTGGGTGTTGGTGGGGGTGGTTGGGTGGGGTGGTTGGGGGGGGGGGGGGGGGGGGGTTGGGGTTGTTGTGGTGTTGTTGGGGTGGGGGGGGGGGTGGGGGGGGGGGTGTGGGGTGGTGGGGTGGGGTGGGTTGGTGGTGGTGTGTGGGGGTGTGGGGTTTGTGTGTGGGGTTGGTGGGTTTGGGTGGGGGGTTGGTGTTTTGGGTGTGTGTGGGGGTGTTGTGGGGGGGGGGTTGGTTTTTGGGGTTGGGGGTTTGGGTGGTTGTTGGTGTGGGGGTGGGGTGGTGGGTGGTGTTTTGGTGTGGGGGGTGTGGGTGGTGTTGGGGGGTTGGGTGTGGGGGGGGTGTGGGTTGGGTTTGTTGGGGTTTGGTGTGGGGGGGGGGGGGGTTGGGGTGGGGGGTGGTGGTGTTGGGTTTTGTTGCATACACACAGTGGTGGGTGGTTAATATATAGGGTGATGTTGGGGGGGGGGTTGTAGGGGGATATTGGTGTATGGGAAGGGTTGTGTAAAAGGGGTTGGGGTGTGGATTTGGTGGTTGTTTTGTGGGTTTTATAAGAAATATAGGAGGTGATTGGAAGTGGAGGAGGATATGTATTGAAGTGTGAATGTTGTTTTGTGGGGGGGGTAGTGAATAATGGATTGTTTATTGATGGGATGGGTATTGGTTGGTTTGTGTGGGTTTGTATATAGTTTTTGGTGAGTTGGATAATATGGGGAGGATGAAGGGGGGGTATGAGTTAAGTTGGTGTAAAGGGGATGAGTGGAGTGTAGTTGTTTGGGTTTTGGTGGGGGGTTGTGGTGGTGGGTTTGGGTGGGTGTGGGGTTGGGGGGGTTTTTTGTGTGTTGGGGTGTGTGTTTTTATTTGGGGTTGTGGTATATGTGGTTTGGATGTTGGGTTGTTGTGGGGGTTTTGGACAAATGGTTTATATGAATGGAGGGATTATTTAATTATTTAAGGGTTGTATGTGATGTTATAATATGGTGGGTTTGATATGGGGTTTTTTATTTAAACACCACACAGATGCACACACACATAATAATAGTGTTTAATAAGGATTGAGAAAGGGTAGGTAGTTGGTGTGTGGTGTGGTGGAGGGGTTTTTTGTTGATTGTTTTGGGGGGTGGATGGTTTGGGTTGGTAAGGGTGGGGGGGGGGTTATTGAGTATTGGGATAGGTAAGAGGAGGGTTGAGGTGAGGGGGAGTTTTAGTGGTTGGAAGGGTGAAGATGGGAAATAGGGGTTGTTTAGGTGGTTATTTGGGGGTTTTGAAGGGGGGGGGGTGGTGATTGGATAGAGGTGAGGGTTGATGTAGTGGTGGTTTTGTGTGGTAGTGGTGTTTGTTGTGGAGTGGGAGGTGGTTTGGGGTGTGGTTGTTTGTTGGTGTTGGGGGTGGTTGTTTGGTTGTGGTTTGGGGGTGGGGGGGGTTTGGGGGGGGTGGTTTGTTTTGTAAGGGTGTGAAAATGGGAGTGGGTGTGAGGGGGTGTGGATGATTTGGTGACAATGTTGGGGGGGGTGGGTGTTATTGGGGGGGTTTTGAGGGAGTGGGTGGTGGGTGTGTGGGGTTTGGTTTGTGGGTGGTGGGTGGGGGTTGTGGGGTGTTTGTTGTGGGTGGTTGTTGATTGTGGTTAATTGTTGTGGTGGTTATTGTGGAGTTAAACATTTATCTATCTCTATCATCTATCTTGTAAATAATGTTATTATGATATAGTAAGAGAAGAGAAGAGAGAGAGAGAGAGATTTACACAGAGAAGAAGAGAGAATTGAGAGAGTGAGGAGAAGAAGAACACAGAGAGAGAATAAGCACACACGATAGATAAGAGAGATAGAAGAGAGAGTAGAAGAGAGGAGAGGGGAAGAGAGAGAAGGAGATAGAGAGAGAGAGAGTAGATAGGAATAGAAGAAGGGGAAAAGAGAGAGAGAGAATAGAGTTAGAGAGAGAGGGAGAGGAGAGAGATAAGAGAGAGAGGATGAGAGAGAGAGGAGGAAGAGGAGAGAGAGAGAGGAGAATGAGAAGAGAGAGAGGAGAGATAGAGAGAGAATGAGTAAGAGAGAGATAGAGAGGAAGAGAGAGAGAGAGAGAGGTGAGAGAAGAGAGAATAAGAGTAGAGAGATGATGGTGAGAGAGAGTGAGAGTAGAGTTTTAATGAGAAGAGAGTAGAGGGAGATAGAAGAGAGAAGAGAGGTATTAGGAGAGAGAGGAAGATAAGAGAGAGAGATAGAGAGAGAGGAAAGAGATAGAGGAGCGAAGAGAGAGAGAGGAGATAGAGAGAGAGAGATGAGAGAGAGAGAGAGAGTAGAGAGAGAATAGAGATAGTATAGAGATAGGAGATTAGATAAGGATTTATTGGAGATAAAGAGGATATAGAGGATGATAGGAGAGAAGGAGAAGGAGAAGAGCGAGGAGAGAGAGAGAGGAGATATAGGAGGAGAGGGAGATAGGAAAATGAGAGGAGATAGGATGAGAGAGATATAGAAGAGAGAGAGATTTGCGAGGAAATAGACTAGATATAAGGAAGAGATATATAGGATATCGTAAAGCGATACGATGCATAGTTTACCTACGATCGAGGATCCACGGCTCTCTCTACTCTGGGATTCGAATCTATCTCTACTCTCGGCTAGCAGCTAGAGAGAAGAGATGAGAGAGATATATATAGCTGGATATAAAGATATAGAGAGATAATAAAGAGAAGATAGATGAGAGATGAGAGAGAAAGAAGGAGAATTTAAGAGAGATGAGAGGATAGGATGAGAGAGAGAGAGAAGATTAGAGGAGATGGGGAGAGGGTTAAGAGAGTGAGGAGAGGGAGGAGAAGAGAAGAGGAAGGAAGAGGAGGAGAGAGTAAGAAAGAAGAGAGGAGAGAGACAGAGGAGTCACTACTATCATCTACATCACTCACTCTGATGGAGAGAAGGGAGAGAGAGAGATGAGGGGAGATAAGATAGAGAGAGAGAGATAGACGAACGAAGAGAGAGATATGAGATTAGGAGAGAGAGGGAGGATATAGTAGAAGAGAGGGGAGAAGAGAGAGGGAGAGAGGAGAGAGAAGAGGGGAGAAAGTAGAGAGGAGAGAGAGAGAGGAGAGGAGGAGGGAGAGAGAGAGAGGAGAGAAGAGAGAGGAGATAATGAAGAGAGAGGAGAGATAGTAATTGAGTGTGTGGGTTTAATGGATAGAGTGGATGAAATTAGGATGTTAGGGAGGATTTAAGGTAGATGAAGGAAGGAGATTTGGAGTGTGTGTGTGTTGGTGTGTGTGTGTGGTGTGTGGTGTGTGTTTGGGGTGTGTGGTGTGTAGTGTGTGTGGTGTGTGGTGTTGTTGGTGTTGGGGGTGTGTTGTGTGTGTGTTTGTGGTGTGGCGTTGTTGTGTGGGGTGTGGTGTTGGTGTTTGGGTTTTTTGGTTTGGTTAATGTGTGTTGTGTGTGAGAGTGATGAGTTGTTGTGTTTGTTGTGTGTGTGTTGTGTGTGTGTTTGTGTGTTGTGTGTTTGTGTGTGTGTGGGTGTGTGTGTGTGTGTGTGTTGTGTGTGTGTGTTGTGTGTTGTGTTGTGTGTGTGTTGGTGTGTGTGGTGTGTGGGGTGTGTTGTGTGTGTGTTTGTGTGTGTGTGGTTGTTTGGTGTGTGTGGTTGTGTGTGGGGTTGTGGTGGTGTTTGTGTGTTGTGTGTGTGTGTGTGGGGTGTGTGTGTGGTGTGGGTGTGTGTGTTGTTGTGTGTGTGTGTGTGTGTGTTGTGTGTGTGTGGGGTGTTGTGTGTGTGGTGTGTGTGTGGTGTGTGTGTTTGTGTGTGTTGTGTTTTTTTGTGTGGGGTGTGTGTGGTGGGGGGGGGGGGGGTGTGTGGGTGTTGGGGGGGGGTGGGGTGGGGTGGGGGGGGGGGGGGGGGGGGGGGGGGGGGGGGGGGGGGGGGGGGGGGTGGGGGGGGGGGGGGGGGGGTGGGGGGGGGGGGGGGGGGGGGGGTGTGGGGGTGGGGTGTGTGGTGTGGTTGGGGGGGGGGGGGGGGGGGGTTGGGGGGGTGTTGGTGGGGGGGGGTGGGGGGGGGGGGGGGGGTGGGGTGTGGGGGGGGGGGTGGTGGGGTGGGGGGGTGGGTGGGGTGGGGGGGTGGGGGGGGGGGGGGTGGGGGGGGGTTTTGTGTGTGGGGTTGTGGGGGGTTGGTGAGTGTATGGTGTTGGGTTTTGTGTTTGTTTGTGGGGTGGGGATGGGTAGTGGATTGGGGGGGGGGGGGGGGGGGGGGGGGGTTGGGGGGGGGGGGAATTTTTTGGTTATGAGGGGGTTGAGGAGTATATGTTGGAATTTTATTGGGGGGGGGAATGTTATGGTGGGGGGTTGGATTTTGGGTATGGGGGGTGGGGTAGTGGGGGTGGTGGTGGGGGGGGGGGGGGGTTGGGGGAGGTGAGGGTTTAAGGGGGGGAGGGATGTTTGGAGGGGGATGTTTTAATGGGTTTGTAGAAGTAGTATGGTGTTGGGGTGGTTGTGTGATGGTGTTATGTATTGAGTTGGTGTTTAGGATTTATTGAGAGATAATATAATTATAAGGTGGGAGGAGGGGTAAAGTGAGTGAGTGTTGTAATTATAAATGTATTGGTAGGGTTATAAAGTTATATGTTCAGGTTTAGGTTTTGTAATGGGGTGGTGTTTATGATGGAGGGTTTATGTGGGTGTTTGGGTGAGGGTATGAATTATTTGATATATGGAATATGTGTTATAGGTTTTGGGGTTGGTTAGAGGGGTGGGGATATAGGGGGTGGGATAGTGGGGTGTTTTGTTTGGGTGGGTAGGGGGGGGATAATTGGTTTATATATTATAGATGGGGGGGGGTTGGTGGGGGGAGTTTTGATTGTTGGGTGGGGGGGGGTGGAGGGATTGTGGATTGGGGGGTGGGTTGGGGGGTAAGAAGAGGAGGGGGATGGGGAGAGGTTGTGGGTAGAAGGGGGTTTTGGTTGTGGGGGGGGGTGGTATGGAATGTGGTGGATTGATTGATAGATGAGTTTGTGAATATTAGTACATTATGGGGGTTGTATCTCTCTATATCTCTCTACTATCTTAGTTGAGGTTTCATATTCTAGTTTTATTTGGTAAGGAAGGTAGAGGGGGGATGGAGAGAGGGGGAGAGGGGGAGGGAAGGAGTGGTTGAAGAGGGGGGAGAGGTGGGGAGAAAAGGAGGGGGGATGGGGAGGGAGGTGTGGTTTTGGTTTGGGTATGGAAGGGAGGGGGGGGGGGGGAGGGAGGAGGGGTGGGGGTATTAAGGGAGAGGGGGGTGATTTGTGTGAGGTATGTGTGTGGGTGTGATTGTGGGGTAGGTATGTGTGTGTGTGGTAGAGGTGGATGTGTGGTTGGGGTTGGTGTGGGGTAGGTGTTGTGTGTTGTGTGTGTGATGGTTTAGTGAGTGGAGGTATTTTTGGTAAATATGTGTGTGGTAGGGTGATGTGTTTGTAGGGTATTTTTAGTGATATGGGTTGTGTGATTGTTTAGGGAGATTGGGTTTAGGGATGGGGGGTGGGGGTGGTGGGTGGGGGGGGGGGTGGTTGGGTGTGGTGGTGGGGATGGGGGTGGTTTGGGGGGGGGGGGGGTTGGGTGTGTGGGGGTTGGTGGGGGTTGGTGGGTATGGGGGGTTGGTGGGGGTGGATGGTGGGGGGGGTGGGGAGTGGGTGGGGGGGTGGGTGGTACTGGGTTTTTGGTGTTGGTGTAAGTGGATTTTTTGTAATACACACACAGTGGGTGGGGATTTTGTAGGTATTGTGGTTGTAATATTTTGTTGTTTTGTTGGTGTATGGGGGTGGGGTGGTTGGGGGGGTTGTGTGGGTGGGTGGGGTTGGTGGGGGTTGGGGGTGGGGGGGTGGGTGGGGGGGTGGGGGGGGGGTGGGGGTGGGGGGGTGGGGGGGGGGGGTTGGTATTGGTGGGGGTGGTGTGTGTGGGGGTGGGGGGGGGGTGGGGGGTGTTGGGTTGGGGGGGGGGGTGGGGGTGGTGTGGTGAGTGGGGGGGTGGGGTTGGTGGGGTGTGTGAGGGTGTGGGGTGGGGGTGGTGGGGGGTGTGATGTGGTGTGGGGGTGGGTGGGGGTGGTGGGGGGGTGGGGGGGTGGGGGGGGGGGGGTGTGGTTGGGTGGGGTGGGTGTGGGGGTGGGGGGTGGGGGGTGGTTGTGGGGGGGGGGTTGGGGGGGTTGTGGGGGGGTGTGGGGGGGGTGGGGGGGGGTGTGGGGGGGTGTGGGGGGGGGTGTGGGGGGTGGTGGGGGGGGTGGGGGGGTGTGGGGGGGGTGTGGGGGGTGTGGGGGGGTGGTGGGGGGTGTGTGGGGGTGGTGGGGGGGGTGTGGGGGTGTTGGGGGTGGGTGGGTGGGTTGGGGGGTGGTGGGGGGGGTGGGTGGGGGGGTGGGTGGGGGGGGTTTGTGGGGGGGGGGTTGGGTGGGGTTGGGTGGTGGGGGTGGTGGTGGTGTGGGTTTGTTTGGGTTTGGGGTGGGGGGTTTGTTGGGGGTTGTGTTTGTATGTTGGTGTGTGTAATGGATTGTGGTGTGTATTTTGTAGTTGATATGTTTAGGTGATTTTTGGGGTTGGGGTGTAGGTATTGAGAGAGAGGAGTGAGCAAGAGAGAGAGTGGGGAGCAAGTAGAGAGAGTGAGTAGCTCAGTAGATGAGTAGTGTGGTGACAGAGATGAGAGACCGAGCAGAGAGAGAGAACGCGAGCAGAAGAGAAGATGCGATGCAGAGAGAGAGAGAGGCGAGCCAGAGAGAGAGAGAGATGCGAGGCACGAAGGAGAGAGATGCGAGCAAGAGAGAGGATGCGAGCAGAGGAGAGAAGACGCAGAAGAGAGAGAGACGTGAGCATAAGAGGGGGGGAATATGCAGTGTGGATGTGTAGTGGAGATGTGTTGTGTAGGGAGGTGATGTTGGGGGTGGGTGTGGGGGGGTATAGTGATGTGTGTGTGTAGGAGTGTGGGGGGGGTGTGAGGTGGTGGGGGTGAATGTGTGTTGTGTGGTGTGAAGTGTGTGGTGGGTGTAAGTGATTGTGGGTGTGGGTGGGTGGAGTGATGGTGGGTGTTATTAGGGGTGTATTGTGTGGTGGTGGTAGGAGTGATGTGGTGTGTTGTGGGTGGAAGAGGGGGAGTTGGGGTAAGAGAGAGGTGAAATTAGGATGGGGGAGGGGATAGGTGTATGGATGTGAGGGGGGATATGATGAGGAGAGAGAATGTGAGTGGTGGGGGTGAGTTAGGAGGGGGGTGATTTTATGTGGTATTGTGGGGTTAGGTGTTTTAGTGGGTTGGATAATGTTGGGGGGATGGTATGGTTTGTATTGTGGTGTTGGTTGGGGTTGGGTTTTTTAGTGGGGGGATTATTGAGTAGTTTTTGGGGGAAGATGTATTTTGATTAAGGGGGAGAATGGAAAGGTGGGTTGGAGTGAATGGAGGGAATAATTTGGATAAAGGGGGGGAGTGTATGGGATAATGGAGATAGTCTCTTTTGAGGAGTTGAGGAGGGGATTGGTGTTTGTTAGTTTGAGGTAGGTGGGGGGGGAAAGGGAATAAACACACACACAGGGTAGTGGGGATAAGATGAGGAGGGGGAAAGTGTTAGGTTGGTTTAGTTTTTAGTGGGGGGTAAAGTAGGTATGGGGGAGATGGGTTTGTAAAATTTGGATGAGGGGTTTTATTGAGGGTGGTTTGGGGGTTGGGGAGATGTTAGGGGATTGGGGGGGGAGATTATTGTTTATTATGAGAGGATTATGGGAGGTGAATAGGGTTGGTGAGGAGAGTATTTAGGAAGATGATGATGATGTTAAGAAGTTTGGGGATGTGTGGGAGGGGGAGGGGGAGGGAGGGGGGGAGAGGAATAGAAAGAAGGAGGGAAAAGGGGGGGGGGGTTAAAGATGATGATAAATGTGAAAGGGGGGGTGGTTGCGCGAGGAAAAAGATAATATAGAGAGAAGGAGGGGGGGAAGATGTTGAATAGGGGGGGGCATTGGGGAAGGATATATAGAGGGGTTAGAGGGAAGGAATTTGTGCGGGTGTGATGAGGAGAGTAGGTACGACTATATTTTTGAGGGGGCCGGCATTATGTTAAATAAGTGACATTGTGCGGCTCAGCCCCACGTCTTCTCTTTCCAATGTTCGGTAAGTAACAGCATCATAGAGGGAGTTCCGCGTAATGTGCGGTCAGGCGGGGATCAAGGGAGGGACTGAAGTATATTAGGGGGGGGAAGGGGGGGGGGGGGGGTAAGATGTGTTTAAGGAGGGGGGGGGGAAAATTTGAGGTGAATTTAGGTGGGAGGAATGGGGGTAGTTTGGGAGAGGAATATGTAAAGATTTAGGCTGTTATCTGCAGTTAATATGGTGACAGAGGGGTAATAATACAGGAAAGGTAGGGTGAATGTAAATTTGTATGAAGTATGATGAGGTGTAATAGGGAGAGGATAGGAGAAGAGATTATAGAGAAGGAGAGGGAGAAGGACTGAGGAATGAAGGGGGGGGGTATTAGAAGGGGTAGAGTGGTTCTTAGTGAGTGTGTTAAATTTGAAGGGTTTTTGCTTGTTCATAAATTGGACTATGAGTCTCTCTAGATAGACCAGGGCTGTTCAACGTGGGGCTGTTTCCGTTGGCCCGGGCTCGGCCGCTATTACTGTCAACAGTGCTGCAGTCCAGTACTTTATTGTTGTATCTAGATACACGCCTCACTCATGGTTCACATCAACTTGCACTAAAATGTTTTTTAAATCAAGCACAATCATCAAAACAATTGGGTGCTGTAGTGGAAATTTAAATACTTCAATGAATGGATCCGAGAGAAAACAGCTTGTCTTTGTGCAATTTATTTAAAAGGTGATGAGAATAACAAATACAATTTAAACTCTGCAGAGTCAGACAGAAGCGACGCACACTCCCAAGGTCTGCGTCGTCTCTCTCTGGTCTGATCACATCCAACATTCGGTAATATAGTCCTGCCCAAGTCAGAACAAAGAACAAGACATGTCACAGTGGGGGTAAGGTGGGTTGAGTTATGCAGGAAGACGAGGTAGAAGATAGGGAGGGGAAAGAATGACAGTACACCTGTCAAACATTAAACATTATTACGAGCAAAGGAGTGGTACCATCGCCCCCAGGGGAGACTGCGAAGGTCATGTGAAAGTGAAGGCCTCTTTGTACAAGACAGGCGGCCTTTGTCTGCAAATGTATCAGTGAATTTTAGTACAATATATTCTAATATATGAAACTTGCCACAACAATCCTCCCTATTGATTATCTTAAATCAATCATACACATGCTATTAGGTACTAAGAAATAAAGTAAAATATAACACAAACCCCGAAACATCAACATTTTCACACCTAGTAGGTTTAAGAAAATCCATCATAAACTGGGTTAAACATACAAACCAATTCATTCAAAACCATCAAGTGACATCTCACTAAATGGATCACTGTCCTCATCAGGACAGTCAACATGCAGGTTAAGAGAAGTGTGTTGAACGAGTGTCGACGAGACCATACGTCGGATCAACGAACGAATCAAAGGAATGACACAAGATGACATCCCTATCAGCAACACTAATATAACTCCAAGTCCAGTACCTATTTGAATCAACCACGCTCGCCAGTCTGAAAACCATGAAGCATCTAGAACAAAATCACGGTTAACTGCATCGCGCAAAGTAGTCAGATTTCGAATACCCTGTGCAATGATCCCATCATCGGCACTGTTATCAGGAATATAAGTACAACAAGCGGTCAGATTAAGTAAAACACAAACACCTCCACTTGAAGCAACCAAATGATCCAAAACAATCCTATTTTGTAAAGCAACGGCACGCAACGCATTCACTTCAACTCTGTTGGCCTGTAGAATAGTTACAGTTGAATTCACAAAACTTGAAAAACGATAATTTAAAGTTTCCATTCTAAGCATAACCTTCCCTACACCAAGCTGAGGGAACAAAGAGAGAATTACTTTTGTTGGCTTAGTCCACAGTTTGTGATCATCTGGAACATCCGTTCCCCAAACTGCATCATGAGCAGCAAAATCGCGCTTACCTCGCGATCTAGGAATGGCAGAGATGATGTAAGAGTGATCTGAAGCTATCATCAGAGCACAACGACCTATCCAATTAAATGGTAGCTTCACATAGACATTGTAGCCACACAGCCACAAAACACCCTTCAGAGGAAGAGTTCCTGTTTGGTCAGGAACTGTGAAATATGGAGAACATCTACTACCTGGAGCGGCCTGAGAAGTGTTTAAACTTGAATTACCATGAAAAGAAGTACACGACTAGACACATTTAAACAAAATTACATTAGGATCCGTCCCATCTGTATAGGAGAATCTGTAAAGGTCATGGATAGAGTATAACATACAAATTTAGTACCAGGTCTGATATGTACCGGACCAAAAATTGGACCTTTTTCATCATTAAACCAACAATTGAAGAAATCAGAATTAACAGCCGGTTTGAGTGGAGGGAGACATTTACCTGTGCGCTCTGTGACAGTCTCATTGAGAAACTTAACAGATACAGTTGAATACAGAACCTTTGGAAAATGTGTAAATGCATTAACTATTGGTAGAGGTGTGATGTGTGGGTTTGATGACGCAATAGGCATATGAGTACAAATGTAACAATTTTGTGAGTCTGCTATGAATTTTGCATATTGATACCACAAATTAAGTGTGTACACACTGGTGTGATTCATTGACTGAGCCAAAACATGTGACCACGTATAATCCAATTTGGTCACATCTTCCCTCTTCACACGTTTCGATGTAAATGAAGAGGTGTTAGAATTGTAATTGACAGTGGCCTGTGTTTGATTGTTCTTTTTATACTCCCAACCTTCAAACCATAACAATGGAAACACAATGAGGAAGGAAATGAACATGAGCACACACAAAGTCTTTCTCATCCCACAAAACCCCTGCTGCGTGAATGGATGCCAGGGACCGCGCTCCCTTTCGTCGTTCATCTTGGACTTGGATTGGCACTTGTTGATGTTCTTTGTGTTACCTATCTTCTGCTCATCTATGACCTAGGAGTGTAGTTACCAGCACTTTTCTCCTGATGCAGCTAACAATGTTTTACGTTGGGAGGGGGTAGTGTGTGTGTGACCCTCCTTTCGCGTTGGGAGGGGGTAAGATGTGCCCCTCCTTACGCTTCCGTTGTACGCTCCGCAAGAAGAGCTGGGACTTGTTTGCAGTGCGACGCGTGGACCCAAGTCTGCCTCTCCTGGACTTTCACAGCGGTGTGAGTGACGAGGAGAACTTGGAATGGGCCAAGCCAGCGATGGTGATTCCAGCTTTTGGGCTTGAAGTTCCTTATCAGGACGAAGTCGCCGGGTTGGATGTTGTGAAGTGGATGATCCGCACGCTGGGGGAGGGCCGATGACACCTGTCTTCTGATGTCAGAAAGAGACTTTGTTAGGGTTATACAATACCTTACCATGCCATCCTCGCACAGGATGGCATCTGGTTGAGGTCCCGCAGGTCCCATTCCTACGTTGGGGGGAGCTGCAAACAG